CTATACAAGTCAGCAGTGATAAGACGTCTGAGAGTTCCAGTTCGGCAGAACCCGATCTCCGTGAGTCATCGGCGCTGCTGTGTGGCGTGAGAAGAGAGAGAGAGATCTTCAGGACTTGACAGTCCGCCGCGGGGACGCCAGAGTAAGCGGCGTCTTGGCAGCCCGCTCGCAAAAAGTGATCCCGGTTCGCGTGCAAGGCAGGTGTACTTTTAATGCATGGCGAGCTGAGAGCATTTTCCTTTCTCGGCTGGCTTTATCTACAAGGGGAAACTGTCTATCGCCCCTCCCCTGCCCAGCAAAAAGTCTCGCCGTCGGGCATCTCAATCATCGTGAGCTATAGGCCACTTAGTCTGCGGTCACATGCAGTAGGTGTGCTAACTCATGAAACGTCAACAGAAATTCCGAAATACATTTTCTTTTCGAAAAGATTAATTAAGTAGGGTTGTAAAACCAATCATCGTACAGAGTAATTCTATAATAATTTAGTTACCTCAGGATTCCGGCTATCGAATGAACTTCCTTCCGGCTGCATGCAAAAACTATACTCTGTAAAAATGACTACTTAAGTAGCATGCGTTTTCGCACTGATTTACGATGCCATTAAAAATTCAACTATAATTCATGGAAAACTTGCATAAAAATATTTATTCTTTTGCTCATTCGGTAGAAAAATGACGCCGTCTTCCAACTTTATACTCGAAGGAAGGGTATAACTCGGTTTAAAAAATGTTTCTAATAGAGAGCTGTTTTAATACCGTGGAATGTCAATTCATAAAACGTCATGGCTCTGCATTTACCAATGTGGCTTGTAAATTTAACAACATTGCTGAAATCCACTGCTTAATTTTATGAACCTCATATGGTCTCCTCTTAACACCGTGGAGAAATGCATGGCTTTCCGTACACGGAAAATATACAGCTTGTAGTTTTGAAACCCTGAATGCAAGTGTAACAGCGGGTCGGGTTCAAAATTATTCGAGAATTGGAAAAGTTTCATAGAACCGAATTATACTCTTCTTTTAAGTGTGAGATTGGAAGAAGACGTGAGTTTCTACCAAATAAATAAAAGAATGAATATTTTTATGCATGTTTTCCATGAAATATAATTGAATTTTCAAGGGCATCGAAGATAAATGAGAAAATTGCACACTATTCAAGTAGCCATTTTTTGCAGAGTATAGATCTTGCATGCAGCCGAAAATAAGTTTTTTCGAAAGCTGACACCCTGAGGTAACTGGAATATTATAGATTTATGCTGCATCATGATTAGTTTTACAACACTACTTAATTTATCTTTTCGAAACGCGAACGCATTTCGAAATTTCGGTTGATATTTCATGAGTTAGCACATCTACTGTAAGTAGTCATTTTTTACAGAGTATAGTTCTTGCACGCGGCCGGAAGGAAATTCATTCGAAAGCCGGCGTCAGGGGTAACTGAAATATTATATAATTATGTTGCAGGCTGACTAGTTTCAAAACCCTACTTAGGTAACCTCTCCGAAACGAAAACGCATTTCTGAATTTCGGTTGACATTTCACGAGTTAGCCGCCTACTGTACGTTCGGACCACATTGCATCAGTGCGGATTTTCAAAGTCTGCAGATTCTTCCAGTGTGCCTGAACCACTTTGATAAACTCCTGACAATAAGCCAAATCATCATCGTAAGCCAATTTCTACCATCCAATTTGCCTGGAACGTGGCCGTCAAAAAGGATTCATAGGTGCGGGCACCTTGACCTCCCTTTCATCTTCGCCATCATTCCTGCGCCCACAATGCTATTTGCCATCTTATCCGACTTGATTGCCGAACCCTTCTACATACATACGGACATGGATTCGAGCCAACAATTTTGTTGATAAGTTTTAACTCTTCTCGTGCCGCTTAAGAACGTCGTAACTTGCACTGGCTGTCCGACGTAAACAAGGTCAAGCTCTGTTGTCCGTATAGGTGCCAGTTTACGAGTTTGGTGATTTTTCGTCGAACTTCTATTCTAATGACGCTTAAAAGTTAACCAGAATAATGAGGGCGATCAGTTCTTTTTTGGTCGGACGCAAAGTATCGGCTAAGATAACAAACAGCCAATAAACCAGGCTTGGCCCGTTATTTGGAGGGGGAAAATCCGCACACAAATGCTGTGTTACTCAATCATGAACGCAACAACCAAATCTGATCGCAATTATGTCTGTCATTTACAAAAAGTCCTGAGATTATAATTAACAAGAGTGTAGAGGTCATACAGTACTTCTGGACGACACAGAAGTTCCTTTTAGAAGAAGAAAATGCGATCACCGGAACAAGAAGTTTATTAACTCGAAGTTTCGGATTCTCGCTCGAACCCATCATTGGAGACAGTCGCAGTCTCTGAGTGAGAATCCGGAACGTCAGGCGGATGAAATTTTTGTTCCGGTGATCGCAGCTTCTTCTTCTGCACTGCTTCCTGGACGTAGCCTGCGCGCTTCTGTTGGAAAGTTCTCTCTAAATACTGCAACCATTATTGTGCCATATATTTGGTGATAGCTTCCCACTGTTACTTTTTCTGACATTAAGAATGGGCTTCGCCAAAATGACGTTGGGTAGGAAGGTCGGTAGTACACAGGAATAAGTCCAACCTGAACTATACCCCCATGGAGTGTCTACTTATTTGATTTAGGTAGGTTGGTATACGTTATAAACAGACTTCGAGGCCTTCTGCGAATGTTTCTTTCTCCGGCAGAATAGCATCGAGTCACCGAGTTGGTCCTCGCCACTTTTGCCTACGGCTTATGCAATGTTTTCGGTAGACTCCATAGTTCACAGTCCGTTTCGTAATAGTCGCTGGAAAACGTCCTTTCTTTCTTTAACTTGCCAGCTGCTAGCCCAATTAATGGCTTCTAGCTGTAGACCATGAGCCATGTTGCCGACATCTGCGGAAGTGTACGTTTCCCTTGGGGACTGTTGCCGTCCACGACGTTAGCTCTGCCCCCAAGATTTCCTTTCTGCTCAGTGAATGCCTCATAAGCCACCGTTGTGAGTCTATTCATTTCGAGCTTCGTCCTGTTCATCCACTAGGTCGGACACCACAGTATGCGGTCGGTCTTCTGCCGACCGACATCAACTTCGGACGTATAGTGCCCATGGGCTTCTTAGTACTTTTCTGGTACTTTGTCAGTCACACACCAAGTCGTCGGCAAGCGCCTGCTCTCTCTCGTCTCACAATCCATCGCTAATGTCACAGACATTCGTCCTTCTTCTATCTATTTCCATTACTCCGGTTAACATGTTCATGTCACAAATGGTGAGACCGACAGTTTCTGCTTACACCTTACGCATTCCCGCTGATTTCCTTGTCTCCCACATTTGATCGCATGGAAGCGTTCGCGCAGGCACCTACGATTGGTGATCCTGTATACCTGCCTAGACTAAATTGGTAGACGCTCTATAGGAATTCAGAAGGAAAGAAGGATGCGATCAGTGGAACAAGAAGTTTATTGGCCTAACGTTTCGGATTCTCCCTCGAACCCATCATCAGAGGCAGTCGCCGTAAGGGGTCTCTGGCGACGAATTAGAAACGTCAGGCCAATAAACTTCTTGCTCCAGTGGCCGCATCTTCTTTTTTTCTTCTGAACTGATTCCTGGAACTCACCTGTTTCCTTCCATCGGCACTCTGGAAGGGATATAGTTTAGGGGGCGATACTTATTCTTGTGCCCAACCGAAAGCTCAAATGAAATGGGCACAACCTAATTGGATCCTCATTTATGTGAATGGCGAAATCAGACTGTCTCGTGCACTTTACCGCAGTTCGAACGGACCGAATTTCAAAATGTGCAGTACATTGTTTTCGAAAGTCGCCGTGCAAGCTAAACATATTTTAAAGGACTATATTGTGATCTTATTTATTTTATGGAAAACGGCTAGATTGCAAGGCAGCTAAAATCATTTTAACACAGCCCACTCAAGGCTTTAATGGAGGCCCAGAACTCCCCAAGTTTGGCATAGTAGGCTTATAAAATGGCATGCACAGAAAAGCATTCTTAATCCCAGTCGCAACCAACAGGATGATGAGTATAACACTAAAAGAAGACGTAATTTTCTACTGAATGAGCAAAGGAATTAATATTTCATGCATGTTTTCCATGAAATATAAATGAATCTTTAAAGGCATCGAAGATCAATGAAGAAATGCACGTCATTCAAGTAGTCATTTTTTACGGGGTATGGTTTTTTAACGCAGCCAAAAAGAACTTTGCTCGAAAGCCGGCGTCCTGGAGTAACTGAATTATTATAGAATTATGCTGCATGAAGATTGGTCGTATAACCAGGAAAGAAGTTCTATAGACAGCCATTGTCCCGAGGTAATTAAATCATTATAGAGTTAAGTTGTATGATGATTAGGTTTACAACCCTACTTAGTTAATCTTTTTGAGACGGAAACGCATTTCGGAATTTGGTTGACATTTCATGAGTTAGCCCGCATACTGTACTCAATGATTTGCCATACCGGTTGCATGGGTACTAACTAAAAGCCCAGACATGCGTGTTTTGCTGACCATGAACCGCTGAATGACGCAACTACGCGGATTTCGGCTCATCTGTGGGTCTCTCAGCATTGCGGCGCTCATTTTGGAAATATGAACTGCAGTCTGCCGGACAGACGCGGCTAAATAAATATACCAGGCGAATCACTCATCCAAGGTAGGAGAAATGAGTATTTGCAGGTTTATTTTTATCACAAAAACGCTTCATGATTGAGTATCAGATTTGCTATTTGGCCTGCTGCAACTGAATCGCATGCAGCTTGACGTAAATTAAGGAAACGAGGCAGAAAAAAATACAGTGAGCGACAAAGACGATAAAATCAGCAAAAATGAAGACTGCAGGAGAGACAAGTGTCCAGACGAGTATTTGGGTTGGAATTAAAAGAAAAAAAGAGAGAAAACAGATCTCTAGGTCTGAGAAGAACAGGTGACAGAATTGGTAAGAGTAAAGCAAGTGACCAAAGTGGTCGTCAAAATGCCTGTTAGGCAGGGTATTCCGAGGTAAGCTGCACGCACTGTTCCACCGCGCATCGACAGAGCGGACACTGACCCAACCGACCAGCACATGTGTCGCAGCAGCACACGTGACCGCAGGGCAGGAAGATGATGGAACACTACAAAGGAGAAGACAGCGGGCGCCTCCAGTGACAAGGAAAAAGCTGAGAAGAAATGGTCAAGAATACATGTGGTAGAAATTTTCCTGCACGCCTGCGTCCGAGGGCTCACGGCGAAGTTAGCAAAATTCAGCCGAAGTACAGTAAGTGACCTAACTCATGAAAGGTGCCGAAATGTACGAATGATTGCTAATCACTCGCAAACCGACAAATTTCCCCCTCCCCCTGTGCCACCCGCCCCAAGATTTCACGTTACAAAACATGCTACTCCCTATTTGTAAGTAACATTACTTTGTGGCTTTTATTTCCCAACCGAAGCATATACGCTTGTAATGATATTGCGTGGTCTATTCAGTACCGCGTACTGGTTATTGTACAATTTTGAAATAGAAGGCATTCACAGACAAATTTATACCAGTAACCAATGCTTGTTGTATGTAATCACTTACCTAATTTTGCTTGGCACTTGCCTTACACATTGTTTTTATGAGGTTCTTGTAACAAAAAGGGAGTTCAAAGGTGCTCGCCTACCTTTCCCTGAATAAATCTGATCTGATCTGGAATTTATGGATCAAATATGCCTTTTAATTAAGAACAACTTTGACAGAATTAAAAAAAGAAAGAAATGCTAAAGGCAGTGTTGTGTTGCTTCGAAGTGCCGTTTTATCAGAAAAACGAGAAATCCCGAGAACTTCGAAAATGGCTGCAATTTAGTAAACTTCGTTTTAGGTGTAAAGAATGTCTTCTCATGCAAAAAAACAAAGCAAATATGAAAGTACAAGTAAATTAACGTTTAAAAATAGTGTTTTAGTGAAGTTTGCTTCTAAATATTCTTTAAGAACTAGTGTAATTTCATATATGGCGGCTTGTCAAGAGCCTACATTCTGATTATAGATTCCAAAACAGTTTTCGAAGGATTCGTGGTTGAACGAGATGCGGCTTAACAAGAGAAACGGGAGTTTGATTGAGTTCCCCAAGAGGAACGTCGTAGGAGCAAAGATTTTTAAAAGGTCACATGCTGCCAAGCCGATCGGTAAATAGAATTGGCATGCGTGATCGTAAACACACCACTCTGTGTTTATAGAGAGAAATTTTCTTCCGTTAATCTACACTTTTCGTTCGTTTTGGATTACGTTGAGTTTCAGATCGGCCTTGAAATATTGTTGAATACTTCATGATTTTCAGTGCTTTCACCCGATCGTCCACAAAGACAGATTCTGAATTACCTGTCTGTTGAAAACTTTAAAATAGGGTAATTCTTGAAGGAATTTACCGAACTAGTGTGTCTTTACGCGCTCCTTTTCACGAAGATGGTCGTTTGGCTCACATTTGAAGACTAATTTAAACATGAAACTTCATTTTCGAATACAGTGACCGTCCACAACGAAAGTCGGGAACGAATATGTCTTTAATCAATTAGAAAAATTTCTCTTATAAGTTGCCTCCTTAAGAAGTGCTTTAATACTGCACTTTTTGACGGACCTCTGTGTACTTTGCACGCTGAGGGAAAGGAAAAGTTCGACACTTTTGGCCATTTCTCTCACGTTTATAAACAATAATAAAGGTCTGAGCAGACAGAGGATGAGATGTGAAAGCTGAGCGGGCGTGACGAACTGCATATTTGTAATATACTAGTGTTCGAAAGGTGATTGCGTTTTACCAGAAGGTTATAAAAACGAATGTGAACAAAATTTGTCTGAATGGATTTAACCCGGGATGCAATACTGTCATTTTCATTGACAGCAGCCCAATGAAAAGACCACGTCCAAAGAAATTAGCCTCTTTACTGGGAAAAAAAGTCCGAAGACTGCTTTCAACTTCCTCTTTATTTTTGAGCGTTTTGCCTTCTACAAAGTTTTCTGGTGATCGGAATAGATGGAAATGCATAGCTGCTAAGTCAAGGAGGATGTGGACGGACCTACCATCCTGACGACATTAACCCTTCCTGGGGTAAGCACATGTGGAGCCCAAATTAACTCTTGGCATGTTTTCCAATACGCCTGAGGTGTTCAAGAATAGTTGGACACGACAATTTAAATGTTTGCGACAAATTCCTGGTGTTTTGACGTGAATCGCATTAAATAGTCTCATTCAGAAAGCCATGATTCAGTGAGCTGCCTTCCAGGACGAGGCTTGTCTGACATTTCACAATCGCCATTTTTAAAATTTTGTAACCACAGCCTACCTAAAAGAGCTCTAACTGAATCAGGATACACTTCACAAGTGTTTTTCCCTGCCTCTGTAATACTACTTTTTTTCTACGAAACTCATACAGCAAGCACTGGTGAATGTGTTGGTTTAAGAAGCCCTTGTCCTCTATGGGGAATCACGCATAGTCGAATGGAAGTGATGACGACTGGCAAAAACAAGCAATGAAATGTTTATAAGTGGCAAGTCACTGCTCAATCATTAACTAAACAGTGGTCACTCAGAATTCAATCACCCAATGAGACATGGCATGCGGGGGCGTGACTGGACTGGAAACGCACATGTCATTTAGGAATGGGGTGACAAAGGACGAAACAAAACGTCCATTAGGGATACAACAGTTGGCTGACCCATATTTCATAGGAGTGAACAAAACGCGATTTATTTCCGAACACCCCAATATAGTGATTACTGAGTAGTTGGTTATAGAAATGGTTTGTGGTAGTGTGATCGCGCTCCAACAGTTGGTAAAAAAAATCGATCAGCCTGAGGCCTGCTGACACGATATGCCATTTACATTTTTGTTCGATTTTGTGCATTCAGAGCTTAAGTAATGGTCCGGTGAACCTCTCCTCTTTACGTACCCTTGTGTTAAGCGCTATACTTCCAAATGGCCCCGAACGCTAGCCGGGTGTGCTTGACTGAAAATACTCCGGATTGGCGAGCCTACAGTGACAATGCCAGCCGACACTAGCTACAGTCGGCTGGGTTGATAATGAGGCTGTATACGGCCTGATGTTTAATTCCCGTTGAGAATGAGCGTGCGCCAATGTGAGAATGGATAGAGATCGGGCCAGTGACCAAAATAGGCAACTCTGGTAAGGGGGCGCTCACCGATCGTTCTTACGGAACTCACTCGTTCCGTTGTGCCTTACAAGCTCTATGTCTATCTCAACCAGCAGCCGCACAGCGGCGAACGATATAGGCAGAATGGTATTACCGACAAAGACAAGGCAGACTGGAATGGCCATTTCTGGCTTATTAGCCGTCGTTAGTCAGTCATAACCAACCCCGAAGTGTGGAACATCCGAGGCTCGAACTCGCGACCTGTTAGTTAGAACTCCACGCCTCTAACCACTGGGTCACGAGGCCGTTGCCCTGTCGGTTTCGATCGGGAATAGAAAATGATAGGGGGCGCTCACCGATCATTTTTACGGAACTCACTCGTTCCATTGTGCCTTACGGGCTCTCTCTCGAGTCCGAGCCTCGGGTGTTCCACACTTCGTGCTAGGGTATGACTGGCTGACGACGGCTAATAAGCCAGAAATGGCCATTCCAGTCTCCCTTGTCTTTGTCGGTAACACCATTCTGCCTATAGGCAACTGTGCCTCAAAGCTCACTCTACTAACTTCCCACTTGCCTTTATACAGTGGAAAGAGGTTAGCACCAATCTTCTTTGGCCCCATAAAATTATTTAAGCCGTCGGTTTGGAGTGCTACTTATGAGGACTGTCATGGCGGAGAGGCCTTAGTAGACGTACCCCACGCTCCTGACACACACAACACTCGCTTTCGAATCTGGCCATGATTGGAGGAAGAGGCGGGGCTGAGGGCTGTGGCAGTCGCTCGTCCTCCCCAAATTCGGCGGCTTTCGAGACAGGAGGAGGGGGTGCCGAGGGGAGATCCATTGGTGGCGCACTGGGCTCAGGAAGTTCCAGCTTCTATAGCACACAAAAATGAAACGTCAGAAATGACTGAGGAGACGAAATTGGAGGGATCATAAAGGCTGAATAGTTAAACAGGGCGCGGTTTGTGGATGTCAGTCAAATAAATTAACTGCCTCATAGCAAAAATGTCGCCAGATCCAACATCAGTAAACGACAGTGCATAAAGATTAATCTGAATTTTACGTGAAGTGAGAAATGGCGAACGTACATGTGTAGCAATATACTCCTCTAGAGCGCGTAAAATGGACTTTCGCGCGCCCAAAGCGTGGACGCCGATCTAGAAAACGAGGATGACAGAATTTGAGCAAACGCGTTTGCATAAAACATAGATATGATCAATTTAGGACGTAAAGTAGTCGAATATAAACAACCCATTTTTCATTTTTAGTCGGATATTATTTCGTAGTCGTACCTGCAGTAAACACGCCCTAGCCGCCTATCATACGGGACCGGTGGTAATAGGGGGTTTAACACTAACTCCTAACTACTAACCCTAACAGGTGCAGCTACAGAATATGGTCGTACCCTTTTCCTAATCATGTTCATAAAGAACTTCGGTAGATGCTCCCCGTGTATGGTCTCAGTTCGCATATTTTGAAACTTTGTTAGTGCACAACAAGTAAATTCATGGTTCTGTCCACTGGTGGACCGTTTTAGTTTTCCCCGCTTATCTCTGAGCGCCGTTCTAACAGTGGTAATCCGCCTTAGACTGACCTTACTAATATTGAAAATACTTAGTAACAGCTCACACGACAACCATTCCTCCGCAAATTTCTGTATCCGCTCATAGTCGACTGCAGGTAGAAACTGTTTGGGCATCTTTATTCTTATTTTAAATCACTTCCTTAAGACCATTTGCATCCACTGTAGAATAAAATGATCCGACCCCCATCTGCCCCCTACTGTGTCGGTGAAAAATGAGGTTAAATCCTATTTCGTAGCCAAAAACGCTAGGGGTTAGGGTTAGGGGATTAGTGTTAGGGGTTAGGGTTGGTAGTTAGTGTTAAGCCCCCTACTACCGTCGGTCCCGTATGACAGACGGCCTAGCCATGTCTACTGCAAGCGCGGCTACGAAATAAGATCCGAACTGGGCATATACTGGCCTGATTAGCGCCTCAGAAGTACACTGATTCTGTTCGCTTATAAACAACCATCAACCAGGTCCTAAATCGACTAATTAGGTAGTATAAATAGATAGATGGATGAAGACCCAGCCGGTGGCCTTCTGATCGTGAATACGATCGGCAGAGAACGCAGCTAGTTTTCTACTAGGCGCCAAGCAGTCTTGCATGCATCAGCTGCGCCCTCTGTCACAATAAAGCTTGGCTTCAGAATGCTATGCTCCTGGACTACGAATTAGGGATTATATTACTGTCTCTACCGTGTGCGGTAATTTAACTTCTGTCATTTTTTGGGGTTGATTGGGTAATTACTCACTTTAGAATGGGCATGGGTGAGGTCTTATTTCGCAGCCGCGCCTGTCAGGAGTTAGGGTTAGGGGCTAAGGGTTAGGGCAAGGTGTTAGTGTTATGAGCCAGAGGTTACTGTTAGGGGTTGGGGTTGGGGGTTAGTAGTAGGGGATTGAGTTGGGGTTAGGGGTTAGTGTCAAACCCTATTACCACCGATCTCGTATGACAGACGGCTGAGGCATGTTTAATGCAGGTGCGGCTACGAAATAAGATCCGACAAGGAAAAGGATGCAGGAATTTGAACTTCACGAGTAAAACGTCATGATCAAGCCATTTTTAATCAGAAGGCTAACTAAAGAACATTTTTCACTTGCAAAGAGTTATATTGATTACAGGCCCTCATCTTGGAAGAGTATTTACGCCTCCTCCCCCCCCCCCCATAGAGGTCTTATCTTTAGAAAGTCCATGAAGTCGACCCAGATGGTCGTGTGTAAGAATAAAATTTTAAGAGAGCGCACAGCGTCGGATGCAACCACCAAGAACTGTCAAAGGTTGATGGTTCGGATGGCTATCGAGTTCAGAGAACGGCTAATCTGGCGGTCGGCTACGAACACCAGCAACAGCAAGGTGTTTGTCGATGTTGTGAAGGACGTCTTCGGCTACAACAGCATCCACCGGTGCCGAGTGGATGCCATAATCTTTCTTGATACTACTCCTGCCTATCGCTCTAAAAAGGTAGGAATTTGATAACGATTGCAACTACAATCTAGCTATTTAGACAACATCCAGTCTCTCCGCATGCGGTCTTCAACCGGCTGCTATTCATACCAACAGCCCGGATCCTAATCCTATCGGAAATCCTTTTGCACTAATCAAGTGAGGGCGACAAGGCAAAAAAGAATTTCTCAGTGTAAGCAGAGTTCGATTTTGTGCAAGATGACCACAATGAACAGTGCACTATAGACAACCCGGCTACCACCATGTCAGAAAAACTTTCTGCCGAGTTAAATGGGAATGTGAGGTCAGCAACGTACTGCTTTTGGTATTTTTTATCATTTTTTAATTATTTTTCCCTTTCTATGCGTCCCGCTTCCTTATGCGCTTGTTAAATTAAATATTTCGACGAGCGTTACTTATGTTTATGTTAGTAGATAGTAATTTATAAACAAATTGTGACTTTCATTACTACATTGATACTTTGGGGAGAGCAGCGTGGGCGGGTTTTGTGTTATGGGGATTTTTTGTGATAACTCATTACATTTAATGAGTTATCACATTTACTGTGCATAATATGTCGGTATAAGGGCAACTCTCAGAGAAAGCTAAGGCAACAAGGTACCTGAACCAGATCAGCATCAGTGAAGGACAGCAGCATGTCGGAGGTGATGCGATGGTACTCGAAGTTAGCAGCATAGTCCATGGCATCGGCGGCTTCAAGGATCTTGTACACATCGGGATCAATAAGCTGCTCCTGTGCACAGAAGAAAAGGGTGGAAAAGTACAGCAGGCGGTGAAATTAAGCGCTGCTCATCAATAACCCAGTTGCTTGTAGTGAAGCTTCCTATTTGCAGCGTTGATGGGAAGTGATCAAGGCTGGATAAAAATTACCCGAATCAGTGACTGCCGGGGCCGATTCTAAAAGGACATGTATGCATCCCTTAGCTGTCTTCTAGACTTTCGGGTGGGCTAGAAGCCACGGACTGAAGGTTGCTCCCACAACTATGGATTGGAACGTGTCAACTTTGTAGCTTATGCCCAGGAGGTTAATAGAACCCTTTGCTAATTTCGAGCCGGACATGAACAATTTCGGATAAGTTACTAGTAAAAAACCGAAAAACTGGGAAAGCTAAATCAATCTAAGAAACTGCTGACGTCTTCGCAGCAATCAGCAAGGACTTCTTTCGGAGGGAATGATGTTAGGGTGAAGTTATGAACTTTTTGAAATGAATGTGCAGTGTTTAAAATAATCGGCAAAAACAGGTTTCTTGTTTTTAAATAATTTTCCTTTATTCAGAACAAACCTGACCACATCGAAAATTGTAACGAAAGTGGAATTCAAACGGCACATTAAATCCCAAGACCTCTTATTCGACTGTACATAATCTTTGAGATGCTATAGACCGTTGCGAAGTCTAGAAAAAAATGTAGCGTTCAAGGTGATAAACGGCATGGGGATGATAGGCTATAAAAGGCACCACCTTAACTCTAGGTTTCACATTACAACGTCCAATGGCATACAAATATGTGAAGGCTTTAGTACAGCCAACGCTCTAACCACTTGAGCTACGAGGCCCCGCCAGACGATTCGAGTTTAATCACATTTGGATCAAGTTTACCTGCCCAATCTACTGCAACGTCTGGAATCCACCAAATCTGATACAGTAAGTTGACTGCCCAAGCAGGATTTCCTAAGTAATTCACTTAGAATCCACCAGATGACTACCAGACTCACTTAATTAATAGGTATTTTGGCAGATTTTGAATAACTCCTATTGACCCAACTGTGAAAATCACGGCGCTATCCACAGTTGGCTAAGGAGTCGAGGAATTTCCTACCATATTTCGGCACAGATTTCTCCGCCATTGTCCACTTTTCCTTCCTACAGAGATTTTAGACTAAACGTTTCAGCGATCACAGTCTGTGTCATTCAAATAAAACGATACTCAGAATATATTTTTAAAAAAAGTAAAAATCCAACTACTTTCGGGAAAATGTCTGCTTTTTTCATATGGAAGCCCAACATAAAGGCATAACAGGGAGACCCATTATCTAACCCGAGGGGTGGTGTATGTGTAATTATTAAATTCTTAGGCTTAGTCACAGTACAGGAATAGGAAGGAAACAGTATAAGCCAATCTTTGTGGCTCCACTGGTTGTTTAAGGACTAGCTTTTTGTCCGAATCCCTCCCACGGACTATTAAAATCATGGCTCCATTCTTCACCAACAGACAGGCTAAAAAGACGAGGCTCAGATTAGCGGCCTCCTGTTTAAATGCTGCGTGAAAGTGCTACGTAAAACTTGCAAGTAGGCATAATTTATGACATTTATAGGGCAGAGGAACGGCCGCGCGCGCTTAGCACTTGAAAGACAGAAAAGCCAACTTGTCACACACCACATGCTCACCAAAAAAGATTGAAACTCACACTAAGCAGGGCCGTCGGTTTCTTGTCCATTAGCCTCTGGTATTGCACAAGCCAGTAGTCAGTCTGGTCGCGGAGTTTGCGTGCTTCTAACTCCACCTAGGATAACGGGAAGGGGGACAATTATTGTCACAAATAAAAGCGCACTAAAAAATCCGCTATTAAATGTGGTCTGGGAGACAGTGCTTGCTGGCTGAAAAGGGGAAGGCCGCCTCACCAGACGGTTCTGTAATTCCGTCTCCCGACGCTCTTTGGCCTTCTGTAGGCTTTGTAGCAGCTGCAGGAGTTTGCCGCGCTGCTCGGTAAGAGTGGAGACGGTCAACTGGGAGGAGGCCCGCTTCCGTTCCTGCTCAGCCTGCGTTAGACGACAGAGTTCTTGTTCGACCAGCCTGATCTCCTGAATGATGCGCTGACTTTGCATATCCCTGAGCTGTTGTAGCCGTCGAAAGGCCTCCTTTTGTTCTGCCTCCTAGAACACAAACGATTAGAGAGATCAAGATTTGCTTGCTTCCCTTCGATTACTTTTTTATCTGACGGGTGTATTCTCTGCCCGATCAGCTTAATTAACTCTCTTAGAGTCCTATAGATTAAGATGACTGCGCGCTTAAACAAAAAATTGAAAAAAGCAAGAAAAGGGAGGATTGGTCGAGCAGCAGATCCCTTTGTTCATTTTGCTTAACTCCTGAACTAATGCAGTTCATCGTCAGAGATAAAAGCAGCAATAGAACGGGCGACAGCTATGCGGAATATTAGCCAATCAACGACCAGTGCTGCAGGTCTGGAGATGAATGTCTAAAGCTATGTACGCCGGCACCAGATCGATAAATTAATTGACTAAGTTCTGATCCGGGGTCAATTAAATGCATCGATCTGGCATTGGCGTACAGAGTCCTGTACAGTTACCTGCAGCACCAGTCGTTGATTGGCTTATATCCCCTATAACTTTGGCCTGTTCTGTTACTGCTTTTATCTCTGGCAATGGACTTCTGCATTAGTTTGAAAGCTCAGAAAGATAAATGGTACCGCAGCGCGATTGGTTTTCCTCCTATCTACTCATACATACAGTGAGTGACCGATCTCATGAAATATTGGCCGAAATTGTGGAATGCGTTTTCGATTGGAGGGGATTACTTAGCGGGGGTTGTAATATTGATTAATATGCAGCATAATCCTATAGCATCTAGGACTCGCCAGGATGTCGGCTTTTGAATGCATTTCTTTTTTACCTCCTGCAAAAACCGCACTTGGTAAACAATGACTACTTATGCAGCACGCATTTTTTCGCATTGATTTTCGGTGGTCTTATAAATTCAAATATATTTTGCAGAAAGCATGCACAAAAATATGCTTTCTTTTACCCCCTTGGTAGAAAATCACATTGCCTTCATATTTTGCACCCAAAGAAAGCGTATATTTAGGTTTCGAAAAGTTTCCCAATTCCCGAATAAGTTTGAGCCCGATCTGTCATTGCATTAGCGGTTAGAGATTTCAGTCTACAAGGTGCATGCTTTCCGCATAAGCAAAATCATATATTTCTCTATGCTTTTTAAAAGATACCATTTAGAGTTCATGAAATTTCGCAATGGATCCAGACTGTGTTGTACATTTCATGAGGATCATTGGTAAACAGACAGGTACAATGCTGTATAAATGGACGTCGCAGGCTCTCGAAAAATCTCATTAGAAAATTTTTCAAAACCTAAATATACACTTTATTTGGGTATAAATATAAAGACAATGTGATTTTATACCAAAGGAGTAGAAGAAAGCATATTTTTGCGCACGTTTTCTATGAAATATATCCGAATTTATAAGACCACCGAAAATCAATGCGAAAAATGCGTGGTACATAAGTAGTCATTTTTTACCAAGTGCGGTTTTTGCCGGAGGTCAATAAGAAGTGCATTCAAAAGTCGACATCCTGGCGAGTCCTAGATGCTATAGGATTATGCTGCATATCAATCAATATTACAACCCCACGTACGTAACCCTTCCTAATCGAAAACGCATTCCACAATTTCGGCCAGTATTTCATGAGATCGGTCACGCACTGTACACCTGGAACTCTAACTTTAGCCTCTATTTGCGAAAACTTGGACATGGGCTATGCAGGCGGCTACAAATTGCAGAAATGACGTGCACAGCATCGGTCTTCATGATTCTTCCTATTTCAACCTAGCATGCAAGTGGAAGATCGAGCACTTCACTCCCCCCCTCCCTCCTCTGAACATATCCGACAGGAGTGAGGGTTCCTTAACTCAACAGTATGAATTTCATGTTATCCAGGTCCGAGGCCAGGTGCGACTGGCCAGAGATGGTCATTCCAGTCTTCCTTGTCCTTCTCAGTAGTTATCATCTGGCATGATGGGCAAACTGCTGAAAATCTGACAGTTTATATGATTCTACATCTGGTCGGTAGTTTGGTTGATAAAACATTGGGGCATCTGCATCCTACAGGACAATGCAAGACTGGTACCTCATCTGCGACCCGAGCTGTCAGGTCTAGCTTGTCCAAGTTTCGACTGGCAAGGACCTTGGCAAGGGCTTTCTCGGAGTCCACCTTATCCGTATGCAGTTTCTGCTTGGCATTCTCGCGAGACCGGTTCTGCCTGGCGATTACAGCCTCAGATGCGCACAGAGTCTCCTGCATTGAGTCTAGGCAAGAAAAGGGGACACGAGGGGAGGCTTAGGCTGAAGAATGCTGCTGGCCGACTGCTGTACCGCGCGTTGCAGTTTCAATCACGCCCAACAGGTTTTCACTGTAATATTAACTGGCTTGCTCGGATACCTTCCCTCCCCCGTCGCCCTCGCCATGCGCAGTTGTATATCAGACCAAGAGCCGATGTTTTATTTACCTATCATGTTTCATCCATCTAGGCCGATCTCTGGTCGAACAGTTTATCTTATCTTACAAATACGTAATGACCTTGGGCAGTTGAATAAGAGGTTAGGAAATTATATAACGCCAATAGTTCCAGCATGTTTCGTCGCCTTTGCCTTCTTCAAATTTATTCCGGGAAAACAATGCTTCAATTTCAGCCTTCGTCGCTTGCTTGGATAACTTCCCTCCCCCTTCCCCCCGGCCATGCGCAGCCGCATACCAGGTCACCAGTTTGTGGTTTATTTATCTATCAACTTTCATCCCTCTAGATTGCCCTCTAATTGAATAGTTTACCTTATAAATACGCAATGACCGTACGGAGTTTACTGGTAGGTCACGACACTTTATGACGGCATTAAAGCCTGCATGTTGCAAAACCTTTACCTCGTTCAAGTTTATTACGAGAAAACAGGGCTTCAATTCGTTCTTCTATTTGTTAGTGAATTACATCACAACGAGATTTCGTATTTAAAGAAAGAGTATAACTCGGTTTTTTTAAAAAAGAAAACTATTCAATTTGCTAATAAATTTTAACCCGACCTGCTGTTACACCTGCATTCAGGGTTTCCAAACTACAAGCTGTATATTTTCCGTACGAGGAAAATCATATATTTCTATATGCTACTAGGGAAATAACAATTGGGGTTCATAAAATTTTGCAGTGGATTTGGGTCACACTGCATAACGACATTTCACGAATGAATACTTCACGATCTATAAAAGTCTCATAAGTAAAAACTTTTTTAAAACCGGAAGATACTTTCCCTTCATGCATAACATTTAACGAAGATTAACGCGCTACCAAATGAATGAATAAAAGGATATTTTTACGCATCTTTTCCATAAAATACACTTGGATTTATAAGATTATCGAGAATCAATAGGGGTCACATTACTTAAGTAGTCATTTTTTAGGAAGTGCAGTCTTTGCAAGCGGCCGGAAATAAGCTCGTTCAAAAGCCGGCATGCTGGCATGACTGAGATAGCCTGATATTATGCTGTAAGGTAATTAATATTACAACCCTACTTAAGTAATATTTCTGAGTCAAGAGCGTATTTTATAAGTTCGGTGAACACTTCATGGGATAGCACATCCACTGTACAGTGATGATATCTGAAACGTTCGCTCCCGCATGCGCCAACTTCGGATTACCAATCAACGTGCACAACACGGTTGTCCTGCACAAACCAGCGCCAACTGTCGAATAAACTGAACTCACAGTAACCGTCTCGTAGGGGTAGACACATTATTTTATCTGAGTAGCACCATCAAAATCAGTTTCGAGATTGCAACCCTCCTCTCCAGGGTGCGTCAAGTTTTCAGTAAGTCACAAGGCTCACTCAGAGATGACCAAGATGAGTACAGTGCACGGCCGATCTCATGAAATGTTGGCCAAAATTCTGGAATGCGTTTCCGATTAAGAAGAATTAGTTAAGTGGGGTTGCTATACCGATTATCATGCAGCATAACCCTATAACGTTTCGGTCTCGCCAGAATGTCGGCTTTTGAATGCACTTCTTTTCGACCTCCTGCAGAAACCACACTGGGTACAAAATGGCTGCTTAAGTAGCATGCATTTTCCACGTTTATTTTCGATGGTCTCATAAATTCAAATATAGTTTACGAAGACATGCACAAAATAAGCTTTCTTTTACTCATTCGGTAGGAAATCACAATGTCTTCATATTTTATGCCCAAAGAAAGTGTATATTTGGGTTTTTAAAAAGTTTCTAATTATGAGATTTTTAAGACTGTGCGGTGTCCATGCATGCAAGACCGCACATGCCTATTTACTAATGCTCCTCATGAAATGGACAACAAAGCCCGGATCCATTGCACAATTTCATGAACACTATGTGGTATCTTCTTAAAGGCATAGAGGAATATATGATTTTCCTTATGCGGAAAGCATGCACCTTGTAGACTGAAATTGCTAAACGCTGATGCAATGGCAGATAAGGCTGAAAATTATTCGCGAATTTGAAAACTTTTTTAAGGCCTAAATATGCACTTTCTTCGGACATAAAATATGAAGATAATGTGATTTCCTACCAAATGAGTAAAAGAAGGCATTTTTTGTCCATGTTTTTATGAAATATATTTGAATTTATGAGACCATCGAAAATCAACGTGGAAAATGCATGCTACTTAAGTAATCATTTTTTGCCGTGTGTAGTTTCTGCAAGATGTTAAAAAGAAGTGCATGCTAAAGCCGACATCCTGGCGAGTCCGAAATGTTATAGGGTTATGCTGCACGAAAATCAGTATAGAAACCCCACTTAAGTAATCCTTCCTAATCGGAAACGCATTCCAGAATTTCGGCCAACATTTCATGAGATCGGTCACGCACTGTGTTTACAGGAATATCATTCTGAAAGCGTGCTTAGATAGCGTAAAGACCAGAACTGCTTGTCAAGGCCAAGCGAGTAAACCAGATAGCTTCCAGTCAGGCTGTCCGCAAGAAAAAGCAGAAAGGGGGTGGTAGGAAGGGATTTCGAAGCGACTGAGCACCTAAGCCGCCTTGAACCAGGCTCAACTCCAATAGAGAGGTCACACTGTCAGGTTGACAGACGACGACATGTCGGAGTGACTCTTCGCTAGGGTTGTTCGCAGGCAAGGTGAACAAACACGCGCTGCAGGGTCACCTCCAGGACCTCCTTCGAGTGCTGTCAAATAAACAAAGGGCCAAAAGGAGCGCTTGTATACAACTGGCGGATGTTGCGAATGGCGGAGGAAAAGGTAGAGAAACAGGCGTGAGAAAAACGCTGCTAATATGTTGGACCACTGTTAGCTCACTTTCAAGGTCCGGATCGGTCTTGCTGACTGTCTTCGGATTAGCTGCAGTGCAACCAAATCACCTCCCCACGAAACAAAATAGTATCATCGATGAGACCGCTTTCACGTGCTCTCTCCCTGTACCGGCACATTTCGGTTCCTGTCTTCTGTTTCCAAATACCTTCGCAACTACCGAAATGGTGACATGGCCAGCAGTGCAGATACAGCAACAACTTGTTTCAATCGTGGTCGCACGTGCCAACAATATATCGGTCTGATCGGACATCGGCAAATTCATGGTGAAACGGCTGGAGAGCCGACGAACACGAGTCAAGTCCACCTTCCATGCTCACGCTGCAGAAGCACACTCAGGCATACCTTGGTGGCTTGGTCAGTCCTATAGGAATGCGCAAAATGAGCAGTAAAATATCAACATCACTTGTGTTCACACTGTCCTCAAACATTCAATCACCGAAAGGCCCTGTTGTGTGCTATGTGCACACACTAGAGCACCGCCCATCACTCGTGTGCCAATCCCCGTGCCATGGTTCTCACCATCGAAAATGACAGGAGTTCTACCTCCCTAAAATGAATCTGACGCGCTAAAGTCCGTGACCTGCAAGGCTACCAAGTGACGAGGGTCAGATCGCAATGGGTCCTCCTTACTGCGTCCCTCTGTTCTTGAAACCGGATCCGCGGGGAGTTGGGAATGAGGTCGTGTGTGACCCGTTCAGGCGGGCTGGTTGATTTTGTCAATCATTATGCGCACACTCTCATCCCGTTGACCTGATTTTGTTGTCTTAGTGGAGGGAGAGATAGATCCGGAAATACAGAATGAAGTAGGTACGTCGATCAAATTCAGACGCATGTCCCCACAGCGCCCTAGGGACAATGATGGACCTCATATTTTGAGACGTTCAGACTACCAGTGTCTATGATAACAATGACAATGATAGTGATGAGATTGATGGTGAAGATGTGTGTGTGATATGTGATGAGACAGTTCGACCGTCGTTGTCGACGATGCCCACCATGTGCTCCACAGCAAGGTGAGAGCAGGGACGGTGACATGTGCGTGAATTATTTTATAGCGAATGTATACTTGCACGGCATCTACCGCACTCTCTCCTCCCCCCACCTGGACTCGATGCCCAGGCAAAGCCAAGAAAACCGGGGGCGGGAGAGGGCGCAGCTGAATGTCACGGTCTAGCCCGCACCTTGGCGCTCCATTCCCCACACCCCCTGGTCCACACAACAAATGACCAGGTTTTTGACCAGCAACAACAATGGGGGGTGGCAGGGGTCCCAGTGTGCGCGATATGCGTCGGCAATCGGGTCTGCCACCGCATCCCGAAATGTTGGCATTTGTTATGGTGTGCCATCCGATAACGCCTGCCAGAATCCAATATGGTCCCCGTGTTGGTCCAGCACATCTGCCACGTGACCCGTTTTGAAGGCAGATGGTCATCGTCAACCACGACAGATGAGCCACCGCGTATTTATATGCACAAGGACGAAAAAGAGAGGTGAAATGGGCGGTAAGCCCATCTGGCACGCACCAAGTATGGCCAGTCGGGTGCTCTGAGACAGACCAGTGGCGAGGTTATGGTTCAGCACCTCCGTTTGCTCGGCCTCCCACTCGGCCTCGCGTTTGCATGCCGCCTCGTTGGCCTCAGACAGACGTCGAATCAACTCGTCTGCATGCGATTCCGCGTCACGCAGGCTGGAGAGCAGTTCCCGCCGTCGGGCATCGCGTTTTTGCTGCAGCAAGCAGACCTCCGCATCATTGCGGCTGCCCTCCTGTAAAAAGAGTCTCGGCAGGTACATTCTCGTAACCGCTACGAAAACAACAGGGGTGGGGGGGGGAGCAACAAACTTGACAGAGGCTGAGCAGGTGGGCCGGTGGTCTACACACAGCCCAACCTCCACCTCCTCATTCTTGTCCTAGGACAAACTAACGGTGACTGTGTGTACTCACCTCAACCAGTTGGTTGAGGACAGCGTTTCGCGATTTGAGGGCCCTCTGCGCGGCGAGCGCCTCCGCCCTCTGGGCAGCCACCAGTTCTTTGTGTAAATTCTCATTGTGGCGTCGTTTCACAGCCATTTGATGCGCGTAGAAGGCGGAGTCCGCAGTCTGGCAGCGGGAAGGCAAGAAAAAGAGTAATAACACCTGGTACAGATCAAAGTCTAACATGAGGACAACAACAACGCGTGTTCCACACGCCCTCAATGCAGAATCACGAACTGGCTTGCGAGTCAAACCAGCAGTTCAAATGACTACTATGCTATCAGCTTGCGGGCAAAAGTCCCTTTCGACGCAGATAAGTGGGTATATTGGTCGAGGCTACCCCCGCGAGTCAGAACATCCCAATCTAAGAAGCTACGCAATACCAACCCCCCAGAAACCGACCTAACAACGGGCGAACCAGCCTGGCTTGCCTATACCTGCAGCGTCTATTGATGAAAAAATATGGACTGTTCGGTGTCACAACTGCGAAACCCGAGTTCACGTAAGCTGCCACCAACTACAGCAGGCATTACTTCGTCACCAACCTCGACTCCGCCCCTGTAACCGCTCATGCCCTCCTCCCCAGTGGTCAATTAGACGCTAAACGCCCGCATCGATAGCTTCTTGTTCAACAACTCTAACAACCGTCGGTGCACATGCGGAACTAGGATGGGACTCTTCTGACGGCTCCGAATACGTCAGAACACTGACCTCAACGCATATCGCCAGTTATTCAACTTACCTTTACCTGTGCTGCTAGCCGTATTCGAGTAAAATTAGCCAGCCGGGTTCTATGAAAAAGATAAATACATTCCGAATGACCGGTTTCCCTCCCTCCCCCCCCCCTCCACAGTCAGATAGTAGGTCAGTCGGAAACCATTAGCAAGGCTAGGGCTACGAAGTCCAAACATGACCTGTTGTTTGGATTACTTCGGTTGCATCGTATAATAATTAGAGATCGAGCTAGACAGTGCCCCTTTTATGCATAGTTGGAACAAGACTTGCAGAAGGTAGATGTTCAGAAAATTCAACTAGCTCGGCACAAAGTTGTTGCCAGAAGGACAGAATGATGAATGAAGAATGGCTCGAGTAGATGGCGGCTGATGGGTTTCTGTGGGCTTTCGAAGGTCTCAATGGACTCGTAGCGATTTCTCAGCGGCAACTGCGATCCACGTGTAGAGGGCATTTTCCTAATCAGATCTCCTCTACGGCTGTGAAAGGAGAACATCGGGGGTTTTCGCCCACCTTTGCCTGAAAAGGACCCAGGGTGAAGTATACAGGCTTCCTCTGACACGTGCTGCGAAACCCCTGCAAAGATATTTCGTGCCACCAAAGAAGTTCGGCCAAGATTATTTTGGGCGCGTTAACTGGCGAGCGTAGCAGGAATTGTTGTCGTCTCATCAGAGGTGACGAACAGGTCAGTTCAAAGGTGGCTTGCCGTGCCCTGTTGAGGCATGGAGATGGTTTTTGGGGAAAAGTTTATCTGGTCTAAGCTGAGTGCGACGAGTCCAGCAGATCCACCCCCCGGCAAGTCCTCACGCGTGGAGAGACATCATAAGAAACACCACTGACGGCGACTGGAGTCGTTCGGCAGTCTGGCGCAGTTGAGGGTGGAACAACTGTGCAGGAGGAACACGAAGATTACTCCGGAGACACATCAGCGATGGGAGGGAAAAACGCCATCTGACAGGACTCCGCTGTACTCTCAGCTTCGATGAGGCTGAAATCCCCGTAAGCGCGGCAACCGCATGAGTCACAAGCCGTTTCAGTCCCGTTTCTGCGGCCCCCAGTTCACCCACAATCGCAATGATTTTTTTCCCGCCCCCTATTCAGTACCGAGATTTTGCTTGGATTCGGTAATTGGTTAGGTGGGGGGAGGTGAGTCTGTTTCCAGTGGCGGAGTCAATCTTTCGACCGTCGTTCCCGAGGAGGCCCACCGTGTGCCCCACAACAGTGTAGGAACAGGGACGGTGACTTGCACGTGAATTAGTTTGTAGTGATAGTACACTTGGGCTGCGTCCACCACATTCTCTTCCCCCTCACTTTTCTGGGCCCGGTATCGTGACCGAAGCGAGAAGACTAGAGGTGACATCGGGTGCAGGTGGCCGGCGAGGCGTGGGCCAGAGCCTAGGCGCGCCACCGACCTCAGTAGGTGGGCTAACTCATGAAATGTCAACCGAAATTCCAAAATGCGTTTCCGTTTCGAAAAGATTAATTAACTAGGGTTGTAAAACTAATCATCGTGCAGCATAATTCTATGATAATTCAGTTACCCCAGAACGCCGGCTTTCAAAAAAACTTCTTTTCGGCTGCATCCAATAACCATATTCCGTAAAAAATGACTTAGCATGCATTTTTTCACTGATTTTCGATGCCCTTAAAGATTCAATTATACTTCATGGGAAATATGCACAAAAAATATTCACTCTTTTGCTCATTTAGTAGAAAGCTACGTCTTCTTTCAATTTTACACTAGAAAGAAGGGTATAATTGGGTTTTAAAAAAAGTTTCTAATTGTGGGATTTTTTAAATACCTTGAAATGGCCCTTCATAAAACGTCATGTCCCTGCACTTACCAATGTGACTTGTAAAGTTAACGATGTGGCTCAAATCCACTGCTTAATTTTATGAACCCTATATGGTCCTTCTTTATTACCTTAGAGATCTGCATGGTTTTCCGTACGCGGAAATTATACGGCTTGTAGTTTGGGAACCCTGAATGCATTTGTAACCGGAGGTTGGGTTCAACATAATTCGGCAATTGGAAAAGTTTTATAGAACTAAATTATACCCTTCCTTCGAATGCAAAATTAAACGAAGACGCCATTTTCTACTGAACGAGAAAAAGAATGAATATTTTTATGCGTGTCTTTTATATAGTATGGCCAAATTTTAAGGGCATCGAAAATCAATGAAAAAATGCATGCTACTTCAGTAGTCATTTTTATGGAGTACTAGCTGGACCCCGACAAGCGTTGCTGTGGCTCAGTCTGACGAAATGCGAAAGAAAGAAAAGCGGAAGGGGACACGTTTCTGAGATGTTTATATGCATAATTATTGTGGGTATAAGATATTTTTGCCGTTGCGTTGTCTGTGCAGACACAAATATTGTCCGCTTTGCCGACTCGGGGACACGCAACGTATAATTGGCTATGTGAGAAGCAATCCGTTTGCAGATCCTAAACCGCACAATTCTAAGGACTGGCCCTGAGCTTTGCTGATCGTGAATGCAAACGCCAGGAAATGCAGCATTCTAAATCGAAATGGCATGTCAGTTGGAATCATAGGAATGCGAGGGATAAGGATATGCTGTCCTTTAAAAGGTCCTGTCGAGATATTGGCTCCCATACGTTGTTCACTAATGGTTTTACTGCAAGTCGCGTGCCGTTGGTAAGCTTCGGCTGGTTGATTTCTCGCGGTAAGATAACCGGAAAATCGATTTTCAATTACAGTAACCGCGCCGTCGTCCTTGGCAGATCAAACGAATTAAAAATTTCTGTGTGACAATTAACTGCCTCGTCTGTTTCCACAACAGTGTCGACGGACATGCATGGGAACTGCCCCGCCTTGAACCTTAGACTGAATAGTATGGTTACGTAGGTAGACTTCTTTGTTCTTGGCCGCAAGAATCGCTCGTTCGCGTATGCAATCGTGATTCGTATAATTGGTTTGAATATTGGGAAGTATCTTTGTAACCTATTCTTATTTTGACGGCACTAAACTGCCTAATGTAGGAGGTAGTGAAATGCGTCCTGGTGTCGGATCAACCGGCACCGGTCCGTTTCCAACTGCCAGCAATTGGTGTGAGAATATCTCAGCTGTTCAGTCGTTTTGCAGTCGGACACGCATATCCGTAGTTAATTTTAACGTCTGGAGGTGGCGCCACCACGTAGAGTATGTCAGGCAGGCATTTCTTTCGTCGGCTGGTGTCGATCGAGGAATTACAGGCAGTGTTTGCCCGAGTCTCCTGCAAACAGTAGCAATGCGTCTCCAAATGGTCTGCTGTTTCCAAGCAAATCTCGCAATGATCGGTCAAGGGCCTCGAGCGTTTTTGTGTGCCATTGTGCATTCACCCCAAACAATAAGTTTGAATTTCTGCAGTAGTTTTCCCATGATGAGTCACGGCCTAGACTGAGAAGGATTGAGAAACTGGTCGGGGCTTGGATGTCGATGAGTATCTTGACTGTTCGTGGTGATAGAGATTCCATCATGTTTAAGCAGCTGTCCTGAGTTGAGGGATAAGTAGTCAGCTTTTCCCACTGCGAACGTTATGCCACGTGGAGTTACAGCGATTGCATCTGTCTCCCCGATAGCTCAGGCCAGACTGAACCAGCTTTACACAGCGAATACGCACTGGCTCGTCGATCCCGCACTCTTCAAGCGTTGAAAAGCCCTCAAGACATCAGATGCCTCCCATGACCATCTACGTCCGATTTCAGTCCCGTAAAGCATGTTCGGAGAATTCTCAGATAACCAGGAATGAGCACCCAGTCAGGCTGGCTCTCTCGAATGCATGGAATAATCGAAAAAAAATAAACCGCATACCTAAGCGACAGCATGCAGAGATAAGGTGAAGTGGTTCACTTTATCGGCCAATGGTGCATACTTACGTCTAAGGGATCGTCAGAAGTTGAAATTGACAGTGATGGGGATCGAGACTCAGGTTCGTCAATCTTCGACTCAACTTTGTCGGGGATGTTTCCAGCTGAGGGGAATACAGCAGTAGAGAAAATGGGTCAACTTGCACATAAGGCATCAGGACTGATAAAAACATGACGAATCGAGTCGATAGGGTGTGAACTGATAGACGGCGCGCCCATCGGTGGATTCGTTTGAATGAGATTGACGAGCAAACGACAATCAAGGCAAACGGCTGTACAAGGCGATATCCACACTCCTTTCCACATCAGGGAAAAAGGACGGTAAGATCGCAGTTGGTAGCCAGACATTATACGTTGATATTGTCGACGTACGTACTTGTTATCAGTAGGTGTGCTTACCTTGTCTAGGCAACTTGTCATCAGAATGTGTTCTCTTACAGAGATAGGCAGGTCGCCCGTTTCGGCCAGGCTGTTGGGTTTAGTGAGGGTAAGGGTTAGGCGTAGTTTAAGTTTTAGGATTAGGGTTTGTGTTTTAGGGTTACGTTTCGGTGTTAAGGTTAGGGCTTAGGTTCCCGTTAGGGTTAGGTTTGAGGTTAGGGTTAAGCTTAAGGTTAGGGGTACGGTTAAGGTTAGGGTAAGGATTAAGTTTAGAGTTAGGGTCAAGGTTTGAGTTAGGGTTTTGGCTAGGTTCCTGGTTAGCGTTGGGATTTAGTATTCTGGTTACGTTTCGGTTTTGAGGCTTTGGGTTGGCCTTTAGGGTTGCGGTCAGGGTTGGATTTTAGGGTCGAGCGTAGGGTTTAAATTTCTGCCATTATTCCACCTACTTAAAACTTCCCATCACTTTCCCTGGTAACTTTACTTTTACCCAGAAACTCGAGCATTCCTCTACCAGCCCGTCCATTTACCCCACCCATATAACCCCCTTTCCAACCATTCCCGTACGACAGGGACTTGGCTATCCGCCTCCCAATTCCTGGCTACTAACTGCGATCTAACCAAAAGGACAACAGTTGTCACAAAGACCGCAACTGTATCAACTTGATTTAAGTAACTGACCGGCTCCTCAAACGTAGCGGGCTGAAAACATCCCAGACTACTCGGGATTCAGAAATCTATCTAAACGATACGAGAATTCGCTAGTTTACCAATTATCTTCTGGGTCAAATGCTTGTTAGTTCATAAGCATACTCACAGGACAGATGATTGCCTCACCTGCCTAATGAAAAAAATCAAAACACGGTGAAAGTAAAGTAAGTGCGGCGTCGGTTTGCTACCTTTCTTTGTTTTACCTGCGTGAAGAAAGTAAGTTTCGTTTTCAAAAGGCCAACAGCGTTTGGCTGAGTCGTACGGGCATTTGCGAGAATTGTAGAGGCCGCGGAAGCTGGACTGGTATACCGGAGCTCGTAAAACGAACGTCCCCCAACTTGCAACCATTTAAATTCGACTTTCATCCAAAAATGTTCCAAAGTCCTGCCTTTCAGGTCTCTTTAAAGCACTTTTAGTCACAGTACCAGCCCAAACCAATTTGCGTGCGATCAGAAGAGGGCTCAGAGGTAGGCGACGGACAAACCCTGCTTCCAAAGAAACCAGATGTTGTCTGCTTTTTGTGTCCAAACACCTGCAGCTAACCTGGCGGATTGGCGATTCAGTATGCATCAGGGAGTGAAGTACGGAGACTTACTGTGCGAAGCTGGTAAGAAGGATCAAACTAGCCTTGCCAGTTTTATCGACTAGGTGACAGTCTGGAGAGCCAGAATGAAAAACAAAATGCCCCAGATAGGGAAGTGACATGGCTGCAGTGGCGCAGAGGCTCGTGCAACCGGCGACCATAAGACTACAGGCGGTGAAGGAGACCTGTTTTGACAAGGTCACCACTAACCTAAATTTACGCAAGAAACAACAGGAAACAATGGTGATGAATAATTGATTGGGTTCAGATGGCAAAATTACCCCGACGAAGGAAGGAGAGGATAGAGGAGATTCCGCCCTCACACACGTCTACAAAGAGGTATGAAAAAGATCTTATAGAAAGATAAGCAATAGGACTTCAGAGGTCCGCGCAATCCTGTCAATGCACGTGCGGAGAAAAAATATTCGTGGAAGTGCAGTTGAGGTGGACGTAAAAAGTAGTTCGTCTGCTGTAGGAAATTCAAGGTCAATCTGTACTCGAGCCAAGTGGCTAAACTCGTGACGGCATTCACAATTTCACACCCGCAATCGACTTCAAGATGTAAGTTCAGTGCATTGTGAACGATCGCCTTCCATTTTAGTCGGTCAGGGACAGCTGAGGAGGTCAATTTGAATTGGTAAACATCCCAATCCCAAGGAAAACCAGGGACCCAGAGATGAGCTCGAGCGCCACTTTCTCAACGCCGATCCACCTCTTCAGTTGGCCACTTCGACGCCGATGTTAGTCAGCCCGATCGAGTTAAGGAGAGATGGCATCTCCAACGGGACGCATGATCGATTCACGTCAATCGGGTTGTTGACGGCCTGTGCTCCCGACTGATGACCCAATCGGACAGAGAAATTCGAAGCGTAAGACGTAAAACAACTGACCAACTACTTTTAGTTCAGTTTTCAGTTTATTTGAGGGAAATATAGGTGTTTAACCTTTGAACTTAGGCAATGCATACGGTAGGTAGGGTAATTTAAATGAAGTTTAAATATTGATTATCATATAGCTTAATCCTATATTTCAATCACAGCAAGATGTCAGTTTTTGAGCGTGCATCTTACCTACCGTTTATAAATATCGAACTTGTCAAAGAAAGAATACTTGACTAGTATGAATTTTCTCATCGATTTTGGTCTTTCGGGTAAATCCACACATATGTCGCGTAAAGCATGCATACACTTTTATTGGTTTGGCATTCAATTTCGCCCTCTTAAATCTTTTTACTCGACGGACTGATACCTTACAGATTTAAAAAGTGGTCCGATTCCCGAAAAGCTTCAAACTCGAACTGCCGTTGCGCTTGCGTCTCGGGCTTCCATACGATAAGCTGCACACTTTCCATTTAAAAAAAATTACACACTATTACTAGGGTACCGTATGTGCCATCCCTGATGTCGATTGCGTATTCTTGTTTTTATTTGCTACTAACCGCTTGTTAGTAACCAGACTTTACTCATTCCACCCTGTCATTGTCTCTGCATCCCTACTAGTCGGTCCCCGTCGTTCATTGTTCATTGTTCTTTGTCGTCGCTCGCTTTTAAATCGACCAGCACCCTCTGGTGTCATTTGCTGACTGCTCGTCTAAGCACCTCGAACTTACGTCTGCTTTTCAATTTATTCCCCACCTTATTAACTTTATCGTGCTCCGCTAATCTTGCTATTTATTACTATAGAATCACAAAGAATATCCGAGTTATCTCGACTGTCTTCTGACATAGCTTTGACCTCGGGTGCGTCTATTCCGGTGAATAAACTAGCACTGAATCAAGAAAAATCTAAAGAATACTAACACCGTATATGACACGTATAATTTAGCAGTGGACGTGAATCATGGTGTATACTTCATAATCAGCATTAATAAACGGACAGACACGATGTCATTGCCATTTGAAAACACATTTCACGATTCCTAAAATCTCTTTCTTGGAAATTTTTTTAAAATTTGAAAGCGATCCCTTCTTCGCGCAGGAAATTGACGAGATAATTGACCAAAAAAGTGAGTACAGGAAGGGATATTATTTTGTGAATGTTCTCAATATAGTATACTTTGCTTTATAAGAGCATCAAAAAAACAATCGGAAAATCATGCTACTTAAGCATTTATTTTTTGCTAGAGAAAATTTCCGCACGCATCCGGAAAGACGCACATTCAAAATCGGCATCCGGCTGTGGTTGAATGATCATGGGATTATGCTGCATGATAACCGACATTATAACCTCACTTAAGTAAAGCTCTCCAACCGGAATCACATTTCAGGATTTCAGTTGACACTACTTAAGTTACGCCACCGACTGTAATTTTTGAGAGCACGAGTCACATATAGCATCCGCGGAGAAACGAGTATTTCGAATAAGGCTTACTTTTCCTACCGCCCTCATGTACACTTCGATGGATACGGTCGATTGACGCAAACAGCGCGCGTCTGATTGATCCGGTGGCCGACTTTACGCACACCCAGATGCCCTTCAAAGGGCAGCAGAAACTGCCTGCTGGGCACGAGGAACTTGTGTACAAGCGCACATCGGCTGTCCGGTACAAAACATGCGGCACTCGGGGCTCACGGGTGGGGGGGGGGGGCGCAATAGATACACGCCCTGTATTTCTCGCCTTTTTCCTTGACGATGACTATCAATTGGTGTTGGTATTGCCGATATCATTCAAGAAATCAGCCTGTCAGACTGCTGACTCATTCCCCGTCAATAGTAGTGAAAATGCGATTCCCAGGTGGCATATCAAAATTAAAGGAGGTTACAAATGCGCAGTTACAGCAGCAACCACCCACTGTAACACAAACGAAACTGTGTCCGCACGCTATACCATGCATGAAAGGGGTCTCCGAAGCCGTGACTAGATCCCTCGCGCCGCTCGGAATAGGCGTTGCCCACAGGCCCGACTCCACAATCCGCCGGCAAGTGATGTGGCCAAAAGACCCGATCCCTAAGCAGGAGATGTCGGCCCTTGTCTGCCGGCTTCAGTGCAGCTGCTGTATGTGCAACTACGTTGGGGAAACCGGCCGACTGCTGCAAACGCGAATACACGAGCATAAGTGCTGATGCAGTCCACGTTCTGCGCGGCGGTTGGGACGACAGACAACTAAGACGGTCTGCGCGTGGGCGCGTAGGAGAACGTTTGCCTTAGTGACCTGAACATGTGAATAACGGGAGAGCAGCATAAAAGTACACACGACATGACGGAGTGTTGAGGTGATCTTAACAGGGGAAGGACACAAAACACTCGCTTGACGTTAGAGTGCAGTTAAAGCTATTTAATGCACAATGCAGTCCTACCTCTTTGAGGAGTCAAGAGGGAGTCGAGGGGAACGGTCAATTTCTTTAACTTCCGGAGGCATCCTAGACGGACAGGCAGGGTTTGCAGGGGATTTTTGTCCAGATAGAGTTCATGCAGATTTTCGAGATCGCCGAGGGAATCCGGCAGACTGGACAACGAATTGTCTACATCAGAAAAGAAGTAAAGAAACTGAGGAGGCAACAATTTGTGTGGAATAGGGAGAACGTCATTCGCAAATGCAGTACAAATGGCAGCACTTCGACGCACTGCAACACTGACTTAAGCATCAATGACGTTGGATGACAGCTCGGCCGGCGCAAGCGAGGATGTTCACTGTTGACACACAGAGCGGGCCCAGCCGGCACGGTGACTTGCGCGTGCATAAGTTTATGGTAGGGCACACTTGCACAGCATCTACCGCGCCTTCTCCCGCCCCCAAACTCCTCGCTCCGACGACAAGACCAAATCAAGACGACCAGAGGCAGGTTCCGGGGGGGGGGGAGGAGGCAGTGGCTACGCAGCTCGTCCGCGTGTGCCACACACGTGACCTGGTTTCCCCATCAAGCACCGGGCATGCTTCCCTAGTACACGAGATATGCATGCCCCTACCGCTGCTGACATGGAAACGAGGTATCAGAAATATCAAAGTCCAACGCTCGGCACCAAAACGGCGGTCGTATCGACCCCCGGTATTTAACTCTCTGGGGAACGCGTGATGCAACCTGACAAACCAAAGGCCAAATTTCGACCGCGTATAATCTTGTAATATCGATATTCGGAAGTAAACAAGTTTCATTGGTGGCAGCTTTCAAAGACAGCAGACAGCAAATCTTTCTGACTTGCTTGGACACTGAACAAACGAATAAGGTTTGGGAGTCTGATAAATCACCAAATCTGGCCGAATTCGTCGAGAAATGCCCTCCCAGCTCACGGAGTACTCTCCAGCTAAATCGGTCAACTAAAAATGGAAAAAAAACTACAGAAGGTGTGCTAGTTCATGAAATTTTAACCGAAATTTTGAAATGCGTTTTCGTTTCGAAAAGATTACTTAAATGGGGTTGTGAACTAAATAATCGTACAGGATAAATATATAACAATTCAGTTCCCTCGGGATGCCGGATTCTGAATGAACTTCTTTCCGGTCTCTTGCAAAAACCACACTCTGAAAAAATGGCTGCTTAAGTAGCACGAATGTTTCTCACTGATTTTCGATGCCCTTAAAAATCCAATTATATTTCATGGAAAACATGCATAAAAATATTCATTCTTTTACTCACTTGGTAGAAAACTACGTTTCCTTTTAACTTTGTACTCAAAAAAACTTTTTCAATTCTCGATTGATTTCGAGCCCGGCCTGTCGTTACACTTGCATTCAGGACTTCCAAACTACAAGCCGTCTATTGTCCGCATACGGAAAACCATACATCTCTCTATGGTATTAAGAGAAGACTGTATAGGTTTCACAAAATTTAGCAGTGGATTTAATACAGACTATAAACTTCAGAAGCAGCATTAACAAATGCAGAGACACAATGTTTTATGAACGGACATTGCACGATATTAAAAAATCTTATAATTAGAAACGTTTTACAACCGAATTATATGCTTTCCTCGAGTATAGAACTGGAGGACGTAATGTTCTACCGAATGGGTTAAAGAATGCATATTTTTATGCATGTTTTCCAGGAAATGTAATTGGATTTTTAAGGGCATCGAAAATCAATGAGAAAAATTCATGCTACTAAAGCAGCCATTTTACTGAGTGTGGGTTTTGCAGGAGGCCGAAAAGAAGTTCATTCAGAAGCCGGCATCCCGAGTGTAGAATTATGTTATACGATGAGTAATATTGAAACTCTACTTATGTAATCTTTTCGAAACAAAAACGCATTTCAGAATTTCGGTTAACATTTCGTGAGTTAACACACCTACTGTAAGTATTCATATGCCAGGAACCAAATATAAACGCTGGGAGACTCATTGATGAGTCGAGTCCCTTGCTGTTTTCATGCAGCACCATAAAATCAGAGAAACAAATGTTCAGGCCTTTAGCTAGTAACTGTGCTGTCAGTACGGCAACTCAATCCCAAAGTATAAATAAAAGTCGGTCGGGACCAAAACTGTCCACTTTGTCTCCTGGTGTCGCCATCATACCACGCATCAACGCTCTGAGGTAATGAGAACTCTCGAAGTATGGGGTCTACCTGTCAGCCCATGTGCAGCTAAGCTGGAGCTGATAGTGGAAAAATCTTCGGTAATGACTGGCCGAGAGGCAAGTAGACTCTTGGGTCTGACGAACAGGCAGCCATGGAACACAGAGTCCTAATACCTTCAGGTTTGGTTGGACACTGATCTGACAAATCGACCAGTCCTGCCCGAAAACCACGCTTTTTCCTCAAACCAAAATAGGATCAGACACGTGTGTGGCAAGCGGGGGGTGGAGCAGTGGTAGATCACCTTGCATAATGACTAACTCGTCTCAGGTCCAGAGCCTGGGGTTTATGTTTTGACTGACAGGCGGTGGCAAATACGCCAAAAACGGCCATTTATAGTGTCCCTTGTTGTTGTTTGTAATACTTATTGATCGAAGACTTATCTCCGAAGTGTGGCCATCGTCGAGGGCCGCACATCGAAGGCTGAAACCTCCGCCACATTGGTGAAGACCGCGCTGGGGTTACTGCGATCGGCATCATATACTGAGAAAAGAATTTATGCAGGGAAAACGACAGAGCCAACATACCCTCGAAATTGAGTGTTCTTAGACTCCGCACGCCTCCCAGCTCAGTTGGCAAACTGCGCAGTTTATTGTGACTCATATCTAGGATCTGGAAGAGATAAATGTTAACGGAGGCATCACTTGCCTGCAACGATTGCATCATGAGGATCTCCGGGGGAAATTCGGAGAATTGATTGGCGTGCAAATCGAGGTGAACAAGGTTAACGAGGTCCTCAGGCCTGCCAGAATTGCAAATTCGCTGGAGGCAGTTGCCGTGGAGTATAAGTATTGTTTTCT